GGAAAGCTGCGCAGTGTCACGTTTAGCAGCGTTTGTGGCATGCGGCCTTCACGTTGCCGGACGTACGACCACCGCCATGGACACGCGCTCGCTCGCTTCCTCGCGGAAGAGTCAGATGCACTTTGGGGGAGCACGGCGCGATGAATGAACCACAATACAGTTGATAGCATCATCCATCCATGAGCGACATGGTGAGTTGGCCTTGTGTGCTGACCTTTGTCGAGCTGATGGAAGCGTTGCTTATGTGCTTTGGCCGCGAATAGACATGTCATGACGTTCTTGGGATCTTGAGGTGTGGACGTCATGGTGCACCTTTACGAGTTCCCTCCTTGCGAGCAGCGGGACGAACGACTTGCGTACAAATCTGAAACAAAATCCGAGGGACGTATTGAACGCCAGGGACCTCACACAGCACCCGGTCTCCCCCCCCCACAACAGGCTAACGAGGCTACTATACGGCCACATTATTCATCTTTTCTAGTCGCTTTCATCACAGATGAGGAATTCTTCATCTGCAGCAGGCCGACGATGTAACTGGAATAAGGCCGCTTGGAGCTCCGACGAGACGGTCGCGGGCAGAACGAAAGCGGGCGACTTAGTGACGACTGTATGCTCTTCAGTTGGCTTGGAGAGGAGCGGGACGTGCGTGTCTGCACCCTGAACGCGCTCTTCCGGCAGCGGCCGTCGAACAAGGACGTCCTATTTGAGGCAATCATCGCGCCGTGTCGCCTTCCAGGATCAATCTCCTTACATGCAACTCGTGCACGACTCGGTCAAACGATTGAAGGAGCGAGGCACTACCGACGCGAACCTGGTCTGGGCGAACGTCGCGGTCTACCAGTCCCGTGCTCACGGCGGTAAACACTTCTGTGTAATTTGGGGCCGCCGCGTCGTCGTCGTCGATAGGTGCAGTTGCGCGCGGGTTCTCTACCATGTCAAGATCATCCAACGGATTCAACCGAGCAAATGTTTTCTCCGTCGGCACCTTGCACTTCCGGCGCATCGGTTGTTTCTTCCACTGGAGATTTTGTCAGTCGATTCTCCTACACACATCGATGAATCACACCTCTTTAAGACGGATGCAAGAATACCTCCAAGACGGCAGCTTGCCACTTGGCCCAAGCAACCTGTGCCGCGTCCAAGAGATCGCCCACTCGTGCCAGGCTTTGCATGGTGCGTTCTCGGCCCGCCGAAGTATCAAAACCGGTGTCGCTCTCTGTAGCAAAGAGCACGGCCAAGGCGGTCTTCATTGTGCTCTGAAGCACCCTGGCGTGGTGGACCGCGCCATTTGTCGTCAACTGCAGTGGCTGCGCGTCAGCCTTGTTGATCGAAGTGGTGACGACTGGAACGTCCACGCACGTGGTATCGTCTACGAGAAGCAGTGCTTGGTGCAACGAGACCAGCCATTGCTGGACCTCGCAAAGCACTTGCTCCAGCTCGAGCGGGGACTCAACTTTTGCTCGCCAATTTACCAGACTTTGCTCGAGGAACTCCATTGTCGCAGTGTGCTGGTTGGACAGCGCCATGAGCAACAGGGATGGGCTGCTGGTCGACGTAGTGCGCACGATGGGATTCTCGTGCGGCAAGCCGCCAGCACTGGCGGCTGCGATTAAAGTGTACACATTGTACAACATCTGGCGCACCGCGACACAGCTCAACGACGGCTTAGACTCGTTTGCTTCGAGGCGGCCGATAGGCGGCATCCACGCGTCATCCAAGAGATAGCCACGCTGTGCGGCCGCAGCGGCTTTGATTTGGCGAAGTACGTTGTTGCAACGAAGCTGGTGGACTGCGCTGAGCACGTCAGCATCGATTTCAGATCAAGTACCTCGAGCGTTTGCTTTCGATCGTGGAAGAGTGCGAGTTGGCTGGCGACGTACTGGCGCTGGCGACGATACCACACGACGTAGAAAAAAATGACCTGGATGATCACGTCATCCTGCACCAAGGCAGAGAGCGATCTGCGTACCACGAGATCGATCAAGGGGAAGAGCACATGAAGAAGTGCGAGTCCAGCGACGGCAAATGATGTCGATTGCTGCCACGATGGCCAGGTAATAGTCGCGTCATGTGTAAGGAAGGTCGTTGTGATGGCAGCGAATGCGACTGCGCTGTACAACAGATGGAGAATTCGAGCTTGCACAACGTCAGGGAATGACTGTTCGAACGACAACGAAGCGGGATGTTGAGTTGATGGCTTGCCAACGGTGCGAGGAAACTTAGACTGGTGTCTCTTCATCTCATCTGCATGCGTGCTTTGAACAGAATGGGCGAACGCCAACGTTTTGAGCACGTCCGTCTTGATGTGCGATGGCGCTGCACGATGGATGCAACTAACAATGAGTGGTAGAACCCTCTGCAGTACCTTGGTCTTCAAGTCTCTAAGACCTGTGGGGGAGCCGGTGTGCTTGGTGTTGGTGTGAAAGAGCGGCTCATCGCTCACAGATGCCAGGTACTCGTCTAGCGCGGTGCCGCGGCGATGTGTTTCGTACATTTCGAGAGACAAGCATTCGCTGTTTGACGAATTCTAGAAATCTGAGTGCGGGTCTTTTTGGAATTTCACGATACAAATAAATACATCGCAGGTTGTATGGAACAAGACAAATTCAATATTCGCCAATAATAAAACACGTCACGTCATTGGTGATAAAGAAGTAAATGCAGCCCTTGGATTGGATAACACGATAAATTCCCATCGCTGTATCCACCAAGTTCACACTCGGGTGCTGCTGGGATAACTGGACGCGGGAACCACCAACGCCATCGGATCGGTTCATACATCATGTCTAGCAAGCGACGCCGCACCGACAGTCCTTCCGAGGAGGCCCACGAGTGTGGCCATGTGGCTTCGTCCGTTGTAGCAGGATCGAACGTCATTGCACTCTCGCCTGGCAACGAGAACGACGCCTCGACATCTTCAACCGTGGACGGTCCCGCATTGTTGGCCGAACTCGACCACAAGTACGCGTTCCTGTCGTCGCTGGTCCAAGAGTTCCGAGACGAACTGAATGTGCCGTCGACAGCAGCGTTTGCTTCTGACCAGGAGTGGTTTTGGTTCATGGAGATGAAGTTCTTCATCACGTTCTTGCACCAGATGTCGTACATGGAGTTGGCACTTTCGTCAACCAAACCGGACTCGTTGACGCATTTTGGACAAGATCAAATGCAAAAGAATCGCGTGCATCAATCGGACCGTGACGAAATGATTGCGCGATTGACGTTCATGGGGCGCTTGCTCGAGTACGTGTCGTGGGTCGGTGCGACGCGGCTGGCCATCACGTCGCCGTTGCCTCGGGTAAGTTTCATGCACCTAGGACAATGTTCTAATAGTTGCCTAAGCAAAGAGGCCTCACGTCCTCGTGTAGGTACACCGCCTCGCCAAGGAGTACGACTTGACACCAAAAGAGCTCGACCTGTTCCAGCTCATGGTGATTTTCCAAGGCTGCCAGAGCACGACCGTGCGGTCGCAATTGATCGAAGAAGATGTGAACCGAAAGATGATGATGTTTCAGCGGCTAGCGTGCATTTCCGAGATCGACATGGAGGAGTTTGTCGATGACAACCGCGTCCACGTCAAGGAAGGTACCGTGATTGCAGAAGTCGACAACTACACGACGGTCCTGTCACTCTCGTCCATTTGCGTGCGCGTGTGCCTCGGCCGCTCGCTCACTCCCAACCACATGCTCAAAGTGAGCCAGACGGCGCTGGAAGACTTGCTCCGGGCCGAAGGGTGCAACATTGAGCAAGCGATGGAATTAGTCGTAGAGGACGAACTCGTGGATGATGGCGCTCCAAAACATCGGTACGCTCGCGAGTCCATGTCGCCAGACTCGGACGGCCATCACGGGTCACATCACGAACACGGCCATCGCGTGGCATTTGACGACGACGACGATGCCATCGCTGGCATGGAAGACTCTGGAAGCAGCGACGAAAAGGACGAAGACATTTCATCCTTCATTGGGTCGTACAAAAAGAATCGTCGTCAGAAACATGAGCAGCCTGACGCTGTGAACGGCGGGCTCGTCGCTGAGCCACCTGCTGCGTCATACATGCCCTACAACCCCGACAATCAACTCGAGTACTTGGAAGATCGATTCCAAGTGGTGGCCTTTGCGATCCGGGCGTCTGGTGCGCGTGTGAAGGACCAAATGAAGGAGGCTGGTACCAAGCAACCGTGGGGCGAGAGCTATGGCAACCCAATGACGGCTGGGCGGCGGGAGCTCAAGGCCAAGCAGCGCATGCACGACCGCAAGGTCATGCATCGGTTGATGGCGACGCGGTAAGTACTTGATATATCTGACCACACGTCTAACTTGTCGGGTCAGTGCCGGTCAAATTCCACTGCCGCGGCTGGAAGAAATGGCGACAAAGTTCAAGCTCAACACTTTTGAACAAAACGTGATTGTGATGCTGATCGGCAAGACGATCTCGCCCGTACTCAAAAACCTCCTCGAAGGCGTCGACACGTCGGCCGTCCAGCGCATGGACGAAAGCATCACAGTCAACCAGATCTTGAGCGTATTTTGCGACACATTTCAGGAACAGGTTGCGCATCGCGTGTTCTTTTACAAGTCGGCGCGGCTATTGCAACGCGGTCTGGTCAAGCTCAACAGAGGGTACAGTTGAAATCGCAAATGCATCCTTTTGTGCGTGACCTCCGCTTCGTGGCGCAGGCGATGGCATGCCAGTGGCGGGGACCTCGTCGACCAGCGCGTCGAGCTGGACCGGCGGGTGCTGGATTGGGTCGTCGGCCTCGATACCGAAATCAACGAACTCGTGGAAGGCAGCGACCTGTACAACCCCAAGGTCCAGTTAAGCCAGGTCGTCCTTCCTGACGAGTACAAGCAAACGATTTTATCCACAGTCACAGCATACGAACACTTTCGAACGTATCGCAAGACAAGCGGCCTGGACCAGACATTAAGCTACGGCACGGGGCTCGTGCTGCTGCTGTGTGGTGCCAGCGGCACGGGCAAGACGATGACTGTGAATGCAGTCGCGCATCATCTGAAGAAGCGCGTGCTCCTCGTGGATTTCCCGTCGCTCCAGGGCAAGGCGTCGCAGGACCGCGGGTACGTACTTCAAGAGCTGATTGGAAACGATTGTCTCACAAACAAATGGGTGACCACAGGGGCGAATGCGACGCTGACTTGCGGGGGCTCTTTCGAGAAGCCGACATGAGCAACGCGATTCTGTTTTTTGACGAATGCGAGTCGATTTTCAAGCAGCGAGAAATGGGCGGCGACCGATTGCTCAACGCCCTGTTGACAGAGATGGAGCGCTACGAAGGGATTGTGTTTTTGGCGACAAACCGACCGTTTGACCTGGACGAAGCGATGCACCGCCGCATCACGGCCGTCTTTGAGTACAAAGCGCCAGACCACATTCAGCGCCGCGAAATTTGGCGAGTCCTCGTGTCGGGCAAGCTCAAGTGCAGTCCGGACATCGACTGGGATGCCATTGCGCTCAAGTACGAGCTATCGGGTGGATTCATCAAGGTAGTTCAATCGAGGCATGAACATTAACAGGGTGCCAACGAGGCCGTTCTGGATAGAATGCGATCCTGTCGGCCCTGCTTAAAGCCATCGGCCGCAACGCGACGGATCCCGTCATTAGCCACGAGGACATCGTGACAGGGTGCGCGCTCCAGATGCGCGGCAGTTTGCACATGAAGACTTTCGACCACCGCGTGGTGCCGACGACCGGCCTGGACGCCTTGATCGTTGCCGACACGGTTCGCACGACGTTGGCCGAAGTCGTCCAGTTTGAGAAGGCGCGCAATGTGATCTACGGCCAGTGGAACTTTGACTTTGGCCTCACGACCAAGTACAACAAGAAGAACCAAAAGGGGATTTCGGTGCTGCTCATCGGCCCGTCCGGCGTCGGCAAGATCAGCGCGGCCAAAGCGATCGGGTTCGAAGTCGGCCGGCCGCTCAAACTCGTCCACTTTGCCCAACTCCAGTGCGACTCGGCCGCCGACACCCGCCGCGCCCTCCAATCCACGTTTGACGATGCCCGACTCATGGACGCTGTCTTGGTGCTGGAAGGGTTTGAAATGTTTGGGATGGACGCCCATGGCCAAGTGGACGCCGACTCGCCAAGGTTTCGAGTTGAGGCGCAGCGACTCATGGACATGGTCGACACGTTTCCTGGGATTGCCATCCTCGTCGCGACAACCACGCAATCTGTGACAAACCTCGACCACGAATTCTCGCGCCGCCTCAAGTTTCTGATCGAGATGCGCCCACCGACGCCGTCGCTCCGCACGCTCTTGTGGCGGTCGTTCTTCCCCCCCACAGCCCCCCTTGCCGCCGACGTGGACTTTGATAAACTCGGCATGCGATTTGAATTGTCCAACGATGCCATGAGCAATGCGGTCTTCCGCGCGGCCGCCGTGGCGGCGCTTCGACCTGAAGACTCGCGGCACATCACGATGAAGGATCTTGTGCATGCCGCCGAGTTGGAAAAGAAAAAAGGACGGAACAACGACATGCGAGATCGATTGTTTGTGTAATTTATACCCATCGACACGTGATAAAGCCCTGTCTATCCGTCGCGCATTCCAACGAAGTTCACGTCGCAAACCACGTCGTCATAACTCGAGTGTGTGCACGGCAGAGCAAGAAATTGCGCAGCTGCATCCGATTCACTCGTTCTAGTTCTCGAAAGCCTGCCGGTTGAGGTTTGGCGTGCTTGGAACGAGGGATGGTTGGATGTGTGCCATGCACCCCGACGCTCCGGGAAAAAACCCCACTCGGAGGCCACGTGTACCTCCATCGTAATGGAAGTCCTACAAAGACAAGACAGAGCTAGTTTACATGAGCTTAAACTGTTTCACGTGGCGACTGGCCTCGTGCAAGTAGTCCAGGGAAGCGTCGGCGCTGGAGCGCTTGACCGTGGGTGGCGAGATGGAAATGAGACTGGACAGGGACGGCAGCAACACAGCCCCACGTCGACGATCGAGGGAAGCCAACTTGGGCACGAATGGATCTGCGAAAGACACGTTCGTTTGCACCGCGTCAGCCGTTGTGTCGATGGATGCATCCCCATCACCAACGTGGCCAAAGCAAGAGCGAGCAGGTGTCGGTATGGCCTCCTGCGTCGGCGACGTGAACACATCGAGTCGTCGGTCTTTGGACGCAGTCACGGGAACAGAGTGTGCGCCAAGATGTCCTGGTGGTGGTAAGCAATAGCCGTATAGCCACCACGCATCCTCTGCGCCGTCGTTGTCGTTGGTGCCACCCTCCGCCAACAATGGCACGCTCTCCGCCACATCCGGCGCCTCGTCCACGACGATGCGAAGGTCCACGCGCGGCCGGCTGCTCTTCTTCATCATGAACCGGCGCCGTCGATGTGTGCGAAACGACAAGCGAGGAGGTGGGGCGACCCGATCTATATATTCCCACATCTGTGCAGAAAAAGCCCCGTGTCAGAACAGTTTCAGATCAGCACAAAGCCAACAGGAGCGCGCTGCAGTGTGCATAGCCTAGCAAGATGGAGACCGCAGCAAACACCGAGTATGGTTATAGATAGGATGTAGAGATTTGGGCTTCTTCGCTCCGTAGCGGCGCCCCCCATGCCGTGATGCCGCATGCTTACGGGGATATGTGGTCCACCTGTCGTGACGATTGCATGTGCAGCTGCGGAAGGTGGATCTTACGGATAATTTCCGGATGAACATTTTCCTCAAAGGACACTCAGAACACGCATGGCGGGGCGCAAAAAGGCGGCGCCGACGGAGAAAGCGTCCCGTCCGGAGGTAATCGAGTTTGTGGCGTCTGTGGCGAATGACGCATCCCCGGACTACCGCGCGCTGGCCGCGAGGAGGCCGTCCACATTGAATGACATTGTTGCAGTCCTCAGGAATGGCGCCAACCCCATCCACGAACGAGGTACGTTTGTTGCAACTTGAGGTGCACAAGCTGATGTCGTATGCAGCGGTGGCGGCTCGTGCGCTTGGTCTTCTCATGAATCGTGATGTGGAGCTCCGACAGCGCATGAAGATGGATGCCGACATATTGATCGACTCGCTCCTTCAAATTGTTCACTATTGCTGTCACGCCAAAACAAAGTCGTCCGAGTGTCGTAAAATGCACGTGAATTCCTGTCTAGTCATTTCCATGGTCATGGATGGTACGTCTCCTTGTCTTTTGTGCGGCACGAATCATCGTTTCGTAGCTCCTCGGGACGGCCATGCTGCGATTGACAACGTTGTCGCGATTGATTCCGATCTCTTGAAGCTCACAAGGCCGCCCCCCGTCAAACCAACCACGCGAGAGCGTTCCAAACCCACGTTGGCGGCCCGTTTTCCCACCTCTCCCAATGCTCGCCACTCCACAACTGCGCCATCTCCCAACCAACTCGACGTGGAGTCACCGCCTCGCACTTCGACAAAACCTTCAGCGTCGAGGATATCCAGGGTGCGTGCACCTCGACCAGTGTTACGCATCTTCACCACCCTGACGTCGTAGAAACGAAGCTTACCCTCTCCCGTGGCACCGTCATCTCCAATTGCGCCGCACTGTAATGCCTTGGATTTAGTCTTCCGACCTCCCACGACGACGCAGCAACGATCTTCCCACTCCCGCACGCGACCTGTCTCAATGAAGTCTGTTGAGCGATTATCCACATGTCCACATGGACTGGCGTTCATGAATGGTGTCGAATTGTAGATCTGTTCTCTTTGGCGACGAGGGGCACGTCATGGGCTTGACTCCCACCGGCGACAACCTCCCAGTCTACGAATTCAACGCGACATTCTCTGGCTATGGCGTCCCGACCGTGTACTACCCATTCCACCGCCCCGACGCGACAGCAGCCACAAACACGCCGCCACCGTCGTACGCTAGCCGAGACTTGATGCGGGCCACCACGATATCCAAACCCAGTCGCGCTATCAAGGGATCGAACCAAACACATGCTCTGCCAGTGACCCCCCACATCATCTACCCGTCCAAGCTGTATCGCGACTCGCTCGAGTCGGTCCACCGGGCGCGGCCATTCGTGATGCCACCAGATTACATGCTCGACATGCTCGAGACCAACCACATGCCGCTGTCCCTGCCATTCAGTCGCCACAGCACTCGCCGCGCCAACTCCGTCGACAGGTACGATGGCCAAAGCCAAAGTCCCTGACACCTTCGACATGGGTAGCCGCATTCAACCGACGCCGTGGGGGGAAGTCAACCGCGTTGTGCTTGGTTCGTTGACACGGCCAGATTACAATTGACTTTCACCGGTCGTAGGATCCAGCTTTGCGGCGTATCACCAACTTCAAAGCATTGCGCACGACCCGTCGCTGCCTACCGGGTCCAGCAACCAACTTGTGGCGTACAGCAACGCCCGCTGTGTCATCGATGGCCGCAACGAGGAGAATTCTGACAACAATTTGGACATCAACAGTGCTGAGTACAAGCGTCGGAGGCTCTTGGCGATTTTGCATGCTCCGATCGACTCGACGGCCACCATGCAAGCCCTCGCGTTGAACGAGCACTCGACAATCATGCGCGGGTTCAGCCTCTCGCTGCATCAAATCCACGACGAAGAGCGGGCAATCATGACCAAGATGAGCGCGACCATTTTGCACCAGCGCAACCAACTGCCACTCAAGTTTCTATTTGAGTTGCCCGGTGGCATCGGGTACTGCCGCGATCGACTGCAGACGTCGATGGGGCTCTGGGTCGAGGAATTCGAAGTGAACCAGCAGCGAGCCGCGTGGCTGCAGTGGAAAGCGCTGGTCGAACAATTTCGATTCAAGGATCGGATGGGCGACTTTGTCCGCCAAGCCGCGCTGAAACGGATGCGACTTGCCATGGACCTCATGGTCAAGGCTTTCGTACACAAGGGATGGGTCAAGTGGGTATTCACTACCCAAATCGACATTTGGTACGACTTCTAAGCGTTTGGCACTGCCGAGCCGGAGGGTTACAACTGCTCACAGCCACTTCGTCATGCGTGGTGCAGGCACCACCGAGACAAGCACGTGAGAAAGATTCAGCCCCAAGTTCGACGTCACTTTGCCATGAGGGCGTTTCTGGCCGCTCATGATGCCAAACCAGTGGGGGGACGCTTTCGAGACATGTTTCTGGCGCCCCCACGCTCGGACCTACCATACCAGATCCCTCTTCGCGTGCGACTGGAGCGCCGGCAGCTCTGGTTTGCCGCGATTGCCGTGCAAGCACCGTATCGGGGCAGGCAATTTCGCAAGTTTATGCGGCAACAGCGCATCGCCGCCACAAAGATCCAAGCCGCGTCTCGACGCCGACAAGCGCGGCTGAAGTACTTGGCGGCGCGGTTCAACATCATCCACCTGCAAGCCCACATTCGGCGACACCTTGCGCGCAAGGCCTTCGTTCGGCTGCGAGATGCCACAACGATGGTGCAGCGGAATCTTCGAGGTCGAGCTGCCAGGAAATTCGTAAGGGCTCGACACGTGAATCACGACTCGTACTTTGACCAAAAATGTTGATGCGCAGGTGAGGCTGGTGGTGTTGGCGACGCGGCGCCAGGGCGAGCTGAGGTGGCAAGCGATACTGCCCCTACTCCGCATGGCGCGGGGGTACCAAGGCCGCCAGCAAGCTCGCGCGATCCGGGCGTATCATGCCAATCGCCTCCGATCCGCTCTGTTGATTCAAAAGGCTTGGTACACTTACAACAACGAATGGACAACGTTCCTTCTCCTCGGGTGTCTACGGGAACGTGAAGTGGATGAAAAAAAGTGGGCGCGCGACCTCTACGTGCTCCACCTCCACCAGAGCGCGACCCGCATCCAGACTGTGTTTCGGTCGTTTGTGGCCAACCAACGCAATGTGATGGCGCTGCGCATTCAGCAGGCATGTCGTCGCCACGTCGCGCGCCAAGTGCTCGCGCGATTGAAGGCTCGGGTTGTCGCCCATCGACGCATCAAGTGGTGGTTTCGAGCCCATCACGCGCGGCGGAACAGGTTGGCGACGCGGATTCAATACTGGTGGCGCAAAGCTGTACCCGGGCGTATGCTCCGCCACTTGGCGCATGTCGCGGCCACGATCCAGGCACTCGACGAGCGCCGAACGCGGCTCCGAGAGTATAATGCAGCCACGACAATACAAGCAATCGTGCACGGTGCGAGCTTTCCATGATGATGCTGGGAATCATCTGATGTTGTTGGTCCATCGCACCAGGAGTTTGGACAAGGTTTCGGTTCAAAAAGACCAAGAGCGCCATTGTAATCCAGCGCAACGAGCGGCGACGCCAAGCTCAAAAGCTGGCCACAAAGTTGCGCTTCGAACGACGGATTTGCATCGCGACGGCCTTTCTGGAGGCGGTCAAGCACCACGTACGCTAGCCATCCCATTTTCGAGCTCGTGCTGTGGTGGCGAACCGTTGTTCGTTCTGATCTGGGGTGTAGGCTGTCTATCGTGAGTTGGAGCGCCGCAAGTTGCGCTATCGAACATGCGCTACCACGATTCAAAGGTAGCAAGGCGAAAAATGGAGCCAGGGGCATAACAAGATCGACCTAGGATTTACCGAGGCCAGAAGACGCGGCAGAAGCTAGCCGAGCACTGGCGCTGGCTGGACGAGCGGACGCAGATGGCTCAGCGAGTGCAGAGGCTATGGCGCCAAACCGCAGACAAACGATTCGCCCTGCGACTACTGGCGCTTCAACGTCGTCGTGTGGCGAACCCATTCAAGACAATGGAGTCGCTGTCCGACGTCATCGGCTCGGCCATTGAGAAATCCCTCGCATATTGTGATCCGTACGATCCGTTGGTTGGGCTAACGCTGATCGGGTGGCTGCGGCGACTCGGTCTGGACGACTTCTACGACGTTCTGCAGCAGCATGGGTACACGACGGTGGCGTCGCTGGCAAGCGTGACGGAAGACTTCCTGCAGTCGACGTGCCAAATCAAAGACAAGGACATAACGCAACTGTTTCTCACGGGCATTCGGTATCGCGAGTGGCTCTCGGACGTCGCGGAGCAACGCCGTGTTGTGCAAAAGCTGGAAAAGGCCGCAGCACGTCACGACAAGCCGTATCAAGTCGCTCGGAAAGCAGTGACCGACCAACACGCTGTCGTGATGCGGTGGAGGCACAAACTGGACAAAGCGCAAGCAGACGCAGCCGACTTCGCCCACCCGCCGAAAGCAGTTCGACGCAAGCTTGAGCGCGCTCAATTCACGTTGGCCCGAGCCGAGCAGGCGCTAGCCGAGTGCGAGCGCATCAAAGCAGACAAGGAATCGGTGGCTGCCGCGGCAAAGGACGCGTGGACGCACGCGAAAGCTGCGTTGAAGCCCATGGAAGCCAACGAGATCAAAGCAGTGTTTCTTCGGCAAGCGGCGGCGCCGGTGGACTCGAATGAGGTTGGCGGACTCCCCGACGATCATGACAATCTTGACCATGCGTTTACTGCAATGTAGCAAATCAAGGCGCTTTTCCTCGACTATTTCCCCAACATGGAGTTTCGCGCTGTGCGGTTTGTTGAGTCGCTCCATGAAAAGCCCGTGACGCTCGCGCAGCTCCTGCGGTTCTTTGGGCGCTTCACCACGATCTCCGACATTAAATTCCACACGCCAGCACTCCTTCGTTCAAGTCACGATGGAGAAATCGCCGCCCACGACCATAAGCGCTGGCTAGAGTGCACCGACGTCTTGCAGTACGGTGTCGAGCGCGCGGGCGACATCCTGCACATTCCAGTCCTCGGTATGGTCGACCCAAGACAAGCGCCAACTGAGCTATCGTCCGTGGCGGCCATTGTCCGCGGTATGCAACAAGCCCGCACCTTGCCGCTGCCCGCGAGGCCCCTCGAGCTGCGCACATGTCTGGCCGACCTCATGCTGATGGAAACGTCTGCTGCGAGGGTACAGCACCTCTGGCGGACGCGTCAAGGACGCCGCATGGTCGCCGCCTTGCGCGAGCAGCAGCACCGCACCCATCTCGCCGAAGCCTACGCCGCCGAACGCAATCGCCAAAATGTGCGTAGAGTGTGGGAAAACGATGTGAAGAAGGCTCAAGCAATGTTACAAGCGAGACTCGACGACGCGAAGCACGCGGCGGTCGTGGCCGAGCTGAGCATGACCCTGCGCTTTGGATATTCGCAGGAATGGCACGACGACTATCAAGCTTGGTACTACAACCACACAACCACGGGCGACGTGGTGTGGGAGCGACCGAGCTACAACGAATCGGACTTGACCGCCGCCAAGATTCTTCAACGCCTCGTGCGGCGATTCCTCGGCAAGTGTCGGCGCGCGGCGTACAAGCGTTCTCTGACTCGATGGGCCAAGTACGAGCGGGAAAAGGTTGTGTGGGAAGCACAATGGATGGACAGGAAGCGATGCGTCACGTTGCGCGTGCGCGACATCAACGCGACAACGCGTGCCGCCGTCCTGGAGTGGAGACGCGGTGGCTCCACATCCATCCGTTTGCCGTCGAATGGTGGAGATGCACTCACGACCATGCATTCTCCCGCTCTTGTCGACGTGTTGGCCGCGTGGACAACGTTATTGCAACAAGCGTACCACAAGAGCGTGCGGAAGGAGCACATGGCGCACATGCTGCTGCCTGTGTACGCCCGCCCCCCGAATGCCAACGCCACGGCGTTGATCGCTTCTCTTCATCTTTATGCGAAACTTCGAGACGCCGTCCGCCCAACCGGCGCCGCTGCAATGACCATCCAGTATACCAAGGTCGAGATGCCGTTCGGATGGACCGAAGTGCCGCAAGATCCTGTCTATTACCTCCACGAAGCATCGGGGGCCGTGACGTGGGACCAGCCCGAGTACACATTCGACGAAGAATACGCTGCGAGGAAGCTGCAGTCGGCGTACCGAATGCTTCAGGGGAGGAAAGCATTCAAGCGCATGCTCGACACGTTTTCGTTTGTTGAGTTGTTGCATGCATCCATCAAGCATGGCACTGGCATTGGGTGGATCGGATTTGGACTCGAAGGGATGTCTCTGTTGGCATACTTGGGCCGGCTCGGGCTCGCCAAGCAGATCCCCAGCATCGCTAAGACCCATTTGACCATGGATTCGTTCTGGTCTGTTCCAGATGCCAAGTGGCTCAACCATGGCATCGTGTGGCAGAAAGAAGAGAAAGCGCTGCTGCATGCAGCCCCGCGGGTGATCCAAGGCAGTCGCCGCCTCGCGCCGCTCACGTCTCGCATGAGTGTCCTGCCTCACAAGCATGGCTTTCACATTATTCCGTCGGAGAAAGCTCTCCAGCAACTATTGTCGGCCCACTTCACGGGGCAGCAAGGCCGAGTCCAAAGCATAGTCCGCGCCTTCAAGGGCCTCCCATTTCCCGTGTCGTACAACCAGCTGGACGTGTACTTACGTGGGTACACAGGGCGACCCGCCCAGGCGGCGGAAAACATCCTGGACATTGTGCCTCCAGGCAGCACGAGTCTCGAGAGCGAAGTCGATTTGTACAAGTTGTACCGCCATGCGCTGCGCCGCTGCGCGATTGTTGCTAGCAACCTCAAGCTCGAACGACTGGCGAAGCGCCTCCACCACGTCCTCGACATTTCGTCGTGCATTCACGGTGTCGCGTGCGATTTGAAGCTTGCTTTGGCTGCGACGCCGCTGACACCTGACGACAAGAGCTGGGTAGGTACCCGTTTGAAGAGAATTCCTTCGTTCAACGAGGGGTGCTGTAGGTCTGCCGGGACCTGCCATGCGTCAAAGGGCTGTGGGAGAGCAATATTGACAAATCTGGCAAGCTTTCAGTCGCCCAGGCGGCACTCTGGCTGCGCCAGGAAGGCCTCGAGTACATGCTCCAGTACATCCGCGCGACCGTGACGATGCAATCGACTTACCGCATGCACGCGCGTCGGAAATGGTACGTGGCAGTGGTCGCACACCGCAACTCGTGCGCACTCACGATTCAACTGGCCTGGCGATGCTCGCTTGCCCGCGCCGTGCGATCGCACCTCGTGGCCGAGCAAACGTCCAGCTATGAGCAGCATTACGTTGAAGCGAGCCAGCTCTTCTTTTTCATCCACGTGCCGACCCAGGAACGCATCAATGTCCATCCGATCGACGACCTTGGCCACCCGATCGTGTATCGCCCGATGGTGCTGGACCGCATCACACGAAAGTACATTCTCGCATGGCCATGGCTGGCATCATCAAACCAGGCGCCGGAGACCGCCGCCAGCGTGTTCGAGTCAAACGTAGTGTGCTCGATCTGCGACAACGAGCGTGCGAGCCGCATCTGCGATGTGTGCTGCACCAGTCGGGGAGATTACATTTACTACTGTTTTGCGTGTTACTGCACGGCCCATCCTCCAGCGCTGGCATGGCACACGTACCAGCCCCTGAACCGGCTGCACGCGCAAGCCCTTCGATGCGTCGAGTGTACGCGTCTGAGCTCGCACCGGTGTCTCGGGTGCAATGAAGACTACTGCGATCGGTGCCTCGCTCGCGTTCACAGCAAAGGCAAGCGCGCGTCGCACCTGATTGAGCACTACGAGCCCAAGAGCCAAGTGTGCATCGAATGCGAACAACGTGTGGCGCTGAAAACGTGCACGGTGTGCGCCGATGCGCTATGCGAGGACTGCGCGAGTCGCACCCACGCCAGAGGCAACAAAGCAAAGCATGTGATGCACCCCATCTTGCAGTTGCTTCCACCGGGATCGGAACATTGCACTCAATGCAAGAGCCGCGTCGCCGACCGAACATGCCGCCATTGCGCGAGACCGGTGTGCCACGTGTGCCTCGAAACGGCGCATCCCGTACGTCAACGACGTCGCTCATCCAGCCGTCGATGGGGCTGCTCATACGCCTCTTCTCTGTAGATACACTGCCTCGATTCGCAGCTCGAAGCAGCCAAGCGCGCGCTCCTGGGGGACAACGTGTGCGTCGACTGCGGCAAACCCGCCGATCGTGTGTGCCAAACGTGCGGCGACAAGTACTGCAGCGTGCGTTGGATGGGCAACCCTGGTTGTTTCGAGCGGTTCCACGCAAAGGGCAAGCGCATCGAACATGAGGCGACTCCCTTCGTGTTGCCTCCGTTGGTGCTGACACCCGAGGCTCTGGCGCTCGAGAAGAAGGTCGCTGCACAAAAGCACGCGATGCAGGTGGCAGCAGAAGCCGCCGCCAAGGTCCAGGAGGCAGCCGACATGGAAGTGCGGCGGCAATTCGAACGAGAGCAGAAAGCGTATGCTGCAGAGGTCCAACGCGCAAAACGAGCTCTCGCATTGCAAGCGCCACAGCTACCAATACCCGAGTCGAATACCACCATCCTGTCGACGCCCGAGAAAAGAACGGTCGCGTTTCGTAAGCCCAAGAAGGAAGCGCCGAGGTGCACAACGCTCGGGTGCACGAATGAAGCCCTGCGACAAATTCCGTTCTGTGCCGACCACTGCACGGCGCAAAACTTGCTGGCTCTCGGCCACGACGCGAAAGACGCAGCCAAGATCATGGCTGGCCTCGAACGTATCAAGCAGCGCCGCGCCCACGAGGCCGAGTTTGGCGTGTCGTTGCTCGAGAAGGTGCGCCGCGAGTTCAAGGACATGGCGTTCCTGAACGACAAGTAGAACGGTGCATCAAAAGCATGATGTACGAAAATGGCAAAACAGGTCGCCGAAGCCAATGTATTTCGCCATGGCATGTACATCGACTGCAAAATCGCCTACGCTCGGTGGAGGGGAATGGACGCACGAGAACCAGAGGGGAGCCAGCTATGCCATCGGCTGCAGGTTTTTGAGATCATCCATGTCGTGGTCGTACGCAGTGTGTGGCTCCGCAGGGCCGAATGAACGATTCAACTCGTGCGGCGTGGTCGCGTTGAGAACGGCTGCATCGTGGACGGCCGCAGCATCCTGGAGCTGCAAGTGGGCGCGCCATTCCTGCGACAGCGTCGGGATATTCTTGCAATAGGCTTTGAACAGGTCCGTGAGCTCCTTGCCTTCGTCCGATTCAAACACTTGGCGACCCTGCGCTACGGGGAGTTCGGAAATAGCTTTGAACGAGTGGGGCTGGACGACGACGGCACACTTGACCCAGCCGATCCAGAGCGCCTCGTCCATTTCCCACACTCGTCGCTCGCGCAGCGTTTCGAGGCACGTCGCGGTGTGTTTGCGAAGCTTGTGGTGCATTTGCACAGCCTGAATCATTGTTCGGAGCGTGTATTTTGGCACGGGAGTTTCCGCGACGAGCGTCGAGGTCACGCTCACCATGACGTCGACGGGGAACGCGACCGGGTGTTCCAGACAGATCCCGATCGCTCGGAGAATTCGTTTTTGTTTTTCGTTTTCGTCGGGAATGTGGTGCAGAGCGAGAAGGAAAGTTGTCGCGTCCACTTTGAGTGGGATCGGCTTGAGCAACTCTTGCATCACTTCCACCAACCGCGGCAGCGGCAAGTCGAAGAAGGATGGCAAGACGTCCATGACCCGCTCCGACGGCAGCTCCGACGCAATCGGCGCGAGAATTGACGCGGCATCGCGGATCATGTCCTTCTGATCCGTGTAGAGCTGCACGAGCGGGTCGACGAGGGTCGACGGGTCCTTGGATAAACTTGCGAGCACCTTGACAACGTGGCAGACAAAATCCAGCGCTTTCGGTGGGAATGCTTGGAGTTGCGCCAGCACGACTGCTTCGCCTTCTTTTTGCCGCAGCAACTTGATCAATTTATCGACCGAGATGAGCAAAACATGCTGGACTTCGGGGCTCGTGGCAGAGTACGTTGTCACAAATCGGGCAAACAAGTCTGGCCGCTTCGCACACAGACCCAGGAAGAGCTCCATTCGTTGCAGGACTTGGTCTTCCGTTTGTGGGCACGTCGAAAAGTTGTGTTCGGTCTGGAGGGTCTGCGCATACGCCTTGAGTTGGGCTTCCATGTCTGTCGATTGGATCTGGTCGAGGTAGTATTGCCGCCGAGGTGACGACAGGATGACGTGTTGGTAGCTGTGAAATGCACTCATGTCGTCGGTCGGCTCCAGTTTGACGGACATGCCGGGCTCCGTCTTGATCGTGTTGGACGTGTCGGGGTTGGCTGCGTTGTTGGCATCGTCTGCCGTGGGCTCCACTGCTACGCCGTCCGATGGCAGACACAGCGACTTCATGAGTTGAATCGCGTGCGTTTCGATGATCGCCTGGAGGTTCGGCAGTGGGTAAATCTGGTTGGCCAGGCACCGAATCGTTGGGTTGCGGATGCTTTCTTCCACGTGAGTCGCGTAGTGGAGCAGCACGTGCAAGCACGCTTCCTGCCCGGACGATCGCTCTGTGATAAAGTTTCGAAGCGCAACGACACCCATCGTGACACGTTCCTTGTCTGTGGGATCGACAAACTGGACGGACAGCAGCTTCAACACGTCTGGCGACAAGCTCGGAATGTGACTCAGCATGTAATGAAAGAGTTTTTTGTCGGCGGCGACTTTCGGGTCGAGTTTCGTACGCAGGAGATGGCACACAAGGGAGACTAAGTGGAGGTACACACGCGGGGTCCTGGCCGCTTCCCCCGCGGCGTCATGCGTCTGCTCCATCGATTCGTACAGCGACGTCGCGTATTCATGGTACAATAGCGACACGACTACTCCATGACGCTTGTGGATGTTCTCTGCGACAAAGTCCACGACGAGTTTGTGAGGTTTGCACCTGTCGTCATCGACGAGCCATCGGCTGGTGGCCAACCGGCACACAAGCGTTTCCCGCACCGACTCCTTTCCACTCGCGAGGACGCCGTACTCGTTGCCGAGTAGGCGCTGGATCGTTTGATGGGCCATTTGCTTGCACCAGTCAGCCGCGACGGGTTTGATGTTGACCTTGATAGCATTGTATTCGCGCGTGACATCGTCTTTGGTGACAGCAATGATGGGTTCGACGAGCGTCTTGGCGTTGGCGCAGATCATGTCCGTGACTGACTCCAATCCTTCTTCATCGAATACGCGGACGAGGGATGGCGGGACCTCGACTTTTTCCCGACCACGTAGCCGGGGATCGCGCACTTTTTTTCGCGAAGAAGCTTCCTTGATGGCCAACACGGACGACGGAGTTGCGAGCCGAGACAGGATCTCGAACATGCGATCTTTGAGGCCGCTGGGCGTATGGAGGAGTTCGAGCTTCGCACCATTTGGACCTATAGGTTGCACGGTCGGCAAATTCGCCATGTTGTTGAGCACGAGCTGGATGACAGATTCGGTGGACATGTTGACGACGGAATCGACTGTCATCGACGCGGCAGCCTCGGTCTTGGCTCGTTTTGCCAGTGGCGACTCGAACGACATCTTGGCGGCGTCACGCTTGACATTTTTCAGCGATGCATCGCTTGGTGCGGACACGTACTTTCGTCGGCGATCCTTGGACTTGGTGAGTGCCTTGAACGCTCGCTCGGACAGATCGTAGGACATAAGGAACGACGTGATAGCGTTCCGGTGCGCCTCCGTCGATGGCAGGTGTAACAGCTTGAGGAGGTTGGCCTTGACAGCGTGGACGACGGTATCTTGGACGGACGGGGGGAGACGATCCGTGGCGTTGGGGACCCCAATCAATGCTGGTACGACGAGCCCGACAAAGGTCGGTCGAAGAACTGCTAGAAGACTCAACGAGTGCACCAATGTGACGTACTCGCGCCGCCCAAACGCTAGCATCGGATTGTCTTGCATGCGATCGACAAGACTCTGCACGATGGATACACCGAGGGCGTCAACCATCTCGTGCCGAATGAACGCGTGGGTTGTCGGAACGATCCCCAAGTGGACAGCATCTGGCTGGACGTTCGATCGCGCGGGATCGCGGTACACAGAGTCAAAGGCATGCGAAAAGTGCAAAGCGCAGTTTTCTAAGATGCGAATCGTCCACAGAACTGCTTCAGCATCTTGGAATTGATGCAATGTCTGCTGTATAATGTGGATCGCTCGCACAAGGTGGTCCCACACTTGAGGATCGTGGGCGTCGAGCGGCTGGACCCAAATGTGGTAGATCGTACCGGGAATGTACTTGTCAAGAAGTTTGAGAGCTTTACGAATCGACGACGGACCTGCGTTGATGGTGAGCACGCTCGAACAAGACTCGAACAGGGCATGTCGCGTGAGCGCTAGAATGGATGGAGTCTTGATCGATGGGTTCTTGGCAGGCTCCATGAGGTCTTCGATGAACTGCAGAGCAAATTTGGCCACTGCCACGTTGCGCTCATTCGAAAACGGAACGATTGCGTCGACAAGCGACTTGTATTCTGGAGTGGACCGTCCAAGGTCCGGGCTGCGCTCCACAACGATTTCTTTCACGCGCTGCAAGAGATCCAATTTCTCTGCTGCATCAAGCGCCATGTGAGCACGATTGATGAGCTCGATCACTGGAGACATCGCTTCCGTCACACTCGAAAATCTGCGCGGAGGAGCTGCGTCGATCAACTGCAGCCTCCCACCAAGTGCAGGTTGCGAACAAGGTGCGTGACAGTGGACCTCGCATAATTCATATACGTCGAAACATTATATTCAGGCTTGCATTATTACTCTGATAGGAGGGGAAAGCATTTCTCCTATTTATTCACACGGGATTTCATTTTCTGATTGGCAAATCCATCCGAGATTCAGCCAATCCAAAAATTATCTCGAATTATTGTCCGAAAACTCGCATTGAGTCGTTCGCA